CTAGCAAGCAAGCTGACTGGCTGGGAGCCCAAACCAGCCAGTCGTCGAGGTAGGCCAACACCCGAACACCTAGGAGACGCAAACGAGCCACCACAACCCGTGTAAGGCATGTGAACACGCGAGGTGCCAGGTTCAACCCGAACGGGAGACAACGAAAGCGGTAACTCAGACGCCCCACTACAAAACCGAGCCAGTCCCTGAACCGCGGATGAATCGGGACATGCCAATAAGCGTCCCGGAGGTCCAGGGACACCATCCAAGCACCCGGCTCCAAGAGGAGCCGAACCTGAGACAGCGTAGTCATCCGAAAGGAGGGGCAATGAACCCAGGGGTTCAGACAGGACAAGTCCAGAATGAACCGCAGGTCCGCGCAGTCCCGTTTCGGAACCGGAAACAGACGGGAAACCCATCTGAGGGACGACGTCGTTTCGACGACGCCCAAGCGTACCCACTCCAAGACGACTCGACAGAGCGCAGGGGAAGAAGCCTGCCCCGCCAGCCCCGACCCCCCAAAGGGGGGAGGGGCCACCCAACGCCACCGCAGGCCGCGAGACACGACCCAAAAGGCCCACGAATCGTGGGACCAGGCGCGGGCGAACAGCGCAAGCCGCCCCCCCATCGCCCCGTCAAAGGGGCAAACCGCGAAAGGGCCGGCGACCCTTACGAGACCCAGAACCCCGCACAGCGCGAACACCGCGCCGACCAGACGAGGGAGGGTCCGCAGGAGGAGCCAACCCCAAACCTGACACCAGAGGCCTACCACGACGAGAGGAACCCCGAGCCCTGGCACGACCTTTCCGGGAAGACCCACCCCGGGACCCCCGGAAAACCAACAAGTCCGACATCGGACGACAAGCCGCCGACGCAGCCTGAATAAACTGCGCCACGGCCGACTCCCCAAACAGGAGAGGACAAAAAGGGGAAGAACGCCTAAGAGCCAGAGCCCAAGCAGATTCCACGGAGGAACCCAGCACCGCCTGCCGACACGCGAGACGGGAAGCATAGAACAGGGAAACCGCATCCCGCAAAATCGGCGTGAACAGCTTCAACAAGGCAGCCGACGAACGCGCAGCCGAGGACAAGGTGCCGGACCCCGGGACGGACCCAAGCGTCCCCACATCCTCCACGAGCCAATCCGAAGACAGCTCCAGGAGGGAAAAGAACCGTAAGGCCGAACACAAAAGGCCCCGAGCGCGCAAGTCCTCCGCCACGAGCGCCGCCGAAAGGGAGGGAACCTGCACATGGAGCTGAATAACGCCCACATCGCGGGGAAGGGCAGGGGCAAACAAGCACTCATTCAGGTACTCAAGTTCACCCCCCAGGAAAACCTGAAGCACCGTGGAAGCTTCCCGCCACTCCAGCGTGCGGGAACGACAGAAGGAATGCCAGGAATCCAGACCAAACAAGGGGCAGTCTGCTAGCCAGGATGACTCCGGAACCTCGTAACGGAGCCAGAAAGGGAACGAAGTCCCAAACCTGAACGTGGACGGATCCATTTCCGAGGCATAATCCGGGTCACGCAGGAGGTAAGCTGCAAAGGCCGCTCGCACCACACCAGGTTGGATGCGATAAGCCGAAAACCTCCGGAAGGACGGAACCGACGTACCTGGGGGAACACGGAACCGTACCCGGGGAGGGGCCGACACCAAATCCAACTCGTACGCAGAGGGGGGGAAAGAAAACCCCACTCCTTGTAACAATAAGCCCCGCTCAGTGGGAAGAAAAACCCAGGCGGGGTCCAACGGGGCCCAAGGCCCCCAAGTCAGCCCCTCCCCAGCCTCGAGGTCCGTCACCACAGGACCCGAGGCCGAGTCCTCTCCCCAAGCCCCGACCCCACAAGACAAGGACGGAGCAGCCGGAAAAGCTGGAGGAAGGGGGGCCCACTGGTCAGACCCTGAAGCTTCGGCCGGGAGACAAGACTCGAATGCCTCTGCCGCCCCCCCGGAAGGGGCAACCCCCGAAGCTGCCCGAGTCTCGAGATCAAGTAACCCCTGCTCCGACCCCGAAACCCTCAGACGCTTCGGGGCCGGAAGCAGGGGCGGGGGACCAGAACGAACAGAAGGGGAAGGACGAGGAGGTGCGGACTGAACCAGGATCGAAGCGACCCCCACCCCCAAGTCCGGGTCTCGAAAAGCAAAGCGGGGCAGCCCCGGGGCATCCGGGGAAGCAACCAACCGAGCGCGTTGCAACAGACGAAACCTAGACTGCAACGCACGTGCCGCCTGTACCCGAATAGAATCATCAGAGGATTGGGTAAATTGAGTCACAAGCAAGCAGCAACACTCACAGGACTCAGGGTCGAAAGTATCACCGACCCAACAGGCAGCGTGGCAGAGGCAAAAACAATGAGGGTCACCCTGAGACAAGGGGACCGAGCAACCCTCAAACTCGCACACAGCGAGTGGGGACTCCGGGGTCACATCCATCGGACCCACGCGCCCCCTAGGGGATTCCCAGGGTCCTGAGCGTTTACTTTAAGAGGACTCGCGCTCAGGTAGTCCCAGGCAGGGTGCTGCAAACCGGCGCCCAAAACTACCAAGCAAACTTCTAAAGCTGAACCCCAGGGACGTGTACACTCACGGGGACCTAGCAGGGGGCGCCACCGAGGAGAACAGTGGAAGGGCAAAAACAAACTGAAGAAAATGACAGAACCCCCCACCAGGCAAAAACAAAAAGAAAAGCAAAACCCCCGCAAGAGGACAGCGAACCCCAAGGAACAGAGCCGGCCGCGATGTCGGGAATTACAAGCTGAGCAGCACCCTGCGCCCCTACCAGTGCAAACTGCCTCTTACCTGCCGGTAACAAGGGAGAACAGAACACCCAAGAGCCCAACAGGCGGCCGAAAAACCGAAAGGTAAAACGGACCAGCAGAGGCAGACCCCGAGGAGCCTGTGGAAGGTGGCCCCAAGCCCCAAGGGCAGTACTTACAGGGCACCTAGGGAAGGCAGCCCTAGGCGCATGCAGCCCGAGTACTGAAGATAACTCCTGGCTCTCGCACCCACAAAACTAACACCACACTCAAAGCACAGTGCAGTAGCGACACCGGAGCCAGAGCACACGACCATCGCCCATAGCATCAGCCTCAAGAACTGAGGTGTGGGTAGCCGGCGCGGGGGGTCTGGGGCTCCCCCTTCCCCCTCCCGGGGAGGGGGGAGCTGCGCAGACAGCGGCGCGGCAGTGTGTGACGTCACACTAATTTGCTTGTTTTCGGTTGGGGAGTTCTATCCACTAGTTCGGTATTAGGTAGCAATTTTAACCAGAATAGGGGTTTGTTTTGGGGCGCTTACCTTTCTGGGTGCCTGTTCCGGTCGATGGCAGACATAGAATGCTTCCAACTACACGGGGGCTTCTATAGGCCATTGCTCCCCTTGCCTCTCTGAGGGGGCCCGGTTCTGGCCGTGGTCCCCGGTAGGCCTAAGAACTCCATACACATGACTGATGCCAAAGTCTGACATTAGCATATCAGCCTGGGATAGCTCCGGGGAGCCGACGGGGCTCCCCCCAGAAAAAGAGAAAGTTCATATATTATTTTGGCATTTTTGTTTCTTTAGCTTAAATCTATGGCAGTTTGTTCTTGGAGTTGCAGGCTTCAAAAATTTCAATTTGTCAACTGTGTCAATTCCTGTTACTATTTTGGATGTTTGGATATTGGCTCTTTTTCCTTCTTTCTTCCAGCTTTTGGCATAATTAATGCCAATAGGTTCTTCTCATAGCTCTTGTATTTTAGTTACAGAAGCCATTTAGTAGCATAACTCTGCACCCTTTTTAGTTTACTGATGTGAGAAATGGACACTACACAACTGTTGCATTCCAATTTTGATCTCATGAATGTTGTGAAAAGTTTCTTTAGTATTTCTCCATCTACATATGTAAAGACGATTCTGAAGGTTGCTAGTATAGCAAAGGGTCCTCTCACAATACCTCCTCTCAGATTACTATTCAGGACACCCCATAGATCTCTCTATATGTCTCAGTTCTTTAGTATCTTTTTCACATAATTTGTATGTTGTGTGGGGGCCTATTTTCCTGTTTACCACATTTGGATGGCTTTAGCATATATCGTGCAAAATTTGGCATACATCTCATTGATTTCAAAACTTAAAATACTCAACAATTTGGAGGATGTTGATCCAGACCACTTGTTTAACCCTTGTGCTGTTCCACTATTAATAGCCTTCAACACCACCAGGCGCAAAAATAAAAAATACAACAAAGTTTTTCATCTTATAAAAGTGTTCATTTGTGTTCCCTGGTCACGGGGGGAAAATAATAATAATAAAAAAATTGTAAATGACATATTTTGGCTACAAAAGGGTGGAGAAGTCTGGCAATATTGAGGCGTTGACAGAGCAATCATCGGAGGCGGTCTGCTCTGCTCGAGCTGTCAGGCGGGAGTTGCCAGAAAGATATAATTACCTAATTATGTTAATGTCTCTTTTTTTTTTTATCTGTTTTGGTTTGTTTCTCTAACAGTTTCTCTCTTATTTCATGGTCACTCTTGTCTAATTGAGGCAGCTACTGGAGGTCAAAGATCTTTTATCTTTCCTGGTAAATATTAGGTCCAGTATTGATAGAACATATGGCATTAGAATTTGTTCATGTTTGCTGAACTTACAGGAAACACAGTAATTAAGAATGAGAGTTGGTCAATGTCAGGGATCTCTGGATATAGTGTTAACACTTAAGAGGTGCTTAGCGAGGTGGGCCAAGCAAGCAAGCAAGCACACAGTTAGTGAGCTTTCATTTGGTGGTTACTCATGATGGTTGACATGGCTTTGAGTTTCAAGTACGTGCTCCTGTCTGTCATTGAGTTCTTCTCTAGTGCCTACCTAGAACATGTCCCTGTGCCTGTAGGGACATCTGAACAATTCCTATTGGCACTTGGTTTATAGAAACAGTAGACACTTACCCTAGAGAGTAACTAAATGTAAAAATCTTGAAAAATATCTGAAGTTAAAATGATAAGGAAGACCTGCTGCAGTTGTATATAGTTTACGTACCACATCACGATATATGACCGCTCTAAGTCTGTTGACATCCATGTCTTGGAGGAGCTTCTCAGGGTCTCTAACTGGACTGTTTTGTGTACCCAAGTTTTCTACAATGTTCTGCAATAAAAATTTTGATATAGTTACTGCATTATAATGATTTGAAGAAAATTATAACTAAGAATTATTTCCTCGTGATTACCTGTAACACGGTACATGTAACACAATACTTGCAAGACAGTACTTACATCATACTACTTGCAACATTGTATTTACAACACAGTCATTGATAAGCGTTGTAGTCAAAACATTTAAAAAACATTTTTTTAAATAAAATGAACAGATCACCTGGAGAGAAATGATAAAATAACAGGCAGACAGTATGGTTTGCAAACAGGAAGATCCTGTGTGAAAAATCTACTTAGTATCGAATATAAGTCTAGAAATATATATATACATGTATAAATCTAGAATCGTATATATATGTATAAATCTAGAATCGTTCATGTTTATAAAACTAGAACTGTATATATGTATGAATCTAGTATCATACATATGTATAAATCCAGTTCATCCTCCTGTTTTGGAAGAACTTACAGAAACGATGAGAACCACAGTATATATACCAACGTACAACAAAATCAGAAAGTAGAAATCGGCACTAATGAGTTAGACAAACTGGAAAACTATTTTTTACTTGTGTTGCAAAGACAAACTAACCTAACCTAATCTACCTAGGCCTAATACACAATATCTGAGGCCTAATATAGTACATATGTGCACTATACTAGGCCTAGGAACATTTGTTTTTTTTTACTTTCATTTATTTTAAAAAACATCCTTACTAGTCAGTATACTACTATTTAAAAGCTAAGTACATATGAATTCGTGACTATTGACGATAGTCACAACATGTACTTTCTAAACAGGAGGATGGGTAGATAAATCTAGTATTGTATATGTGTATAAAAGTACAGGCTGTAATGCTGGATATGTTGGAAGTTCCATTCGGAATATTAAGATTTCGAATGTGTTTTAGTTCCTCCTGAGTTGTATCTTTAATACCTGTACTCATTTTGAGTGACAACTGGTCTCACAGTTACATTTGTTGAATTAGAATATATAGTATAACATTGGTGTTTAGTACTGTGTAATATTTATGTTTCTTATAAGATGTTTAATTAGTCAATTAGTTTAATTATCATGTAATTATTATCATATAACTAATATCATGTAATTATTATCATATATCATGTAATTATTATCATATATCATGTAATTATTATCATATATCATGTAATTATTATCATATAATTAACATCATGTAATTATTATCGTATAATTAATATCATGTAACTAATTTTACTCATTTTCCCTCTTAATAGGTTATTTTGTGTTACACTTTCTTAAATTTTATTTACTATTAATTATGTCCTATCTTCAATAAGTGTCATCTAATTATTGCATTTCATTTATTAAATTGTTTACTCATGCCCTTTTTTTATCCTTGTTTATTTTTACGTGTTGGCCCCATTAGTTTAAATTATACTATTATACTCTATGTTATGTTCCAGTTGCTTGTCTAAATTAAACCTTAGTAATTTCATTGTCATTAAAGTAAATAAACTACTGAACTGTTGCTAGAACTACAGACTCCATAATGTATTAGTCTATGCCTCTCATCATTAAGCATCAGCTATTTATTGTATTCATTTGTTATTTTTCTTAAACTATCTTAATTTTTTTCATTAAAGTAGCTTACTTCTCTTTTAGTAACAAGTGTTTACCCCCTTCATAACATTTAATCCTTTTTTATCTAAATTCTAAGTTTTGTGGGAAACTCTTTGCATAATAGTGACTTCATAAGTACTGTATGTGTAGCTCCTGTCCCTACAATTGTACATTACTCTTATGTTCTTTGTACACACACATTCTACTGAATAAAAAGAATTATTATATTATTTTATATTACAGTGGAACCTCGAATAACGAATGTAATCTGTACCGGCGCTGTGATCGTCATGTGAAACGGACGTCATACAAAACAAATATCCCCATTGACAAAAATGGATATCAAATTAATCCGTTCTACCACCAAAAAACATCAATATGATATTTGATGTTTTAAATAATGGAGCAGCCTACCTTACATACACTGAACAAACCATTATGACTTTCTTCCAATTTGTTCAATATTTTTTTTCATTTGTCTTATAGCAAAAGATTCTTTCAGTGTTCGGCAGGTAGGCTGCTCCATGTTTCTTAAATAAAAAAAAAATAAAAAAATAAAATGACATTTTGAAAAACAGAACAAATGTCAGAGGTTTGTTCAGTGTTAGTCTGGTAGGCTGCTCCATTATGACAATCTCTCTTTGTTTCAAATGTGTTTCTATTTGTTTTGTATTTTTCATTTACGTCTCAATAATGGAGCAGCCTACCCGACAAACACTGAACGAACCTTTTTGACATTTGTTGTATTTCAAAAAATTTAATTTCTTTTTTTTCTACAAAAAAAGTCATTGCTTTGCAACATCTCAGCAGTCACCCCTTTATATCCCAGCATCATTGGCATCTTTAAACAAAAACAACATAATTTATTTGCATCGTTGGAGGCATCCGAGAATGTGTGAGAAGCAGCGCAACCCCACCATGTGGCCTTGTTGTCATTCAAACAAGAGGTCGCCATACGAGATGAATTGTCGGCAATCTGAGCGATCGTTACCCAAAATGCTCGCCATTTGAGGCAATCGTCACTTGAGGTTCTACTGTATATTATATTATGTTATTATTAATATTATAATAATATTAATTATTATTATTATTATTATTATTATTATTATTTTAGCCTTATATTGAAGTTTCCCACTAAGGTGTCAAACCTCTAACCCTTCCCAGGATTCAACCCCACAACAACCTGACTAACTCCTGGGTACCTATTTACTGCTAGGTAAACAGAGCATTAGGTGAAAGGAGATGATCCCAAAAATTTCTGTCCCACTTGTGATTAGAGGCCAGAATTCTCGATTGTGAGTCGAGAACGAACCCGACTGTACTACCGGGATCCATGCATATTTTAAATACATTAATTCAATAACCTGACCTAACACAACTTCCACAATAGATGTGACTAATTAGCATGGAGTAATCAGCAAGACTGCTCCATTAGCATAGAGCAATCTTTAGTTTTTGCAAAAAAATTATGTCCTTTTACAGATTTCCTTTCTCATGATTACATACACTAGTCCTGATGGAGATGTGCCAGACATACACAGTATGCAGCTTAATAATCACTTTTGTTACCTTCCAAGTCGAAAACTAATTTGATTATTCTTAAGTGTTAAAACCTTCTTTTAATATGTCGCTTTATGTACATATGTTCATCTAAATCATACTCGCATACAATCCTCACACCAAACATATAACTGAATACACAATAATTACTATAATTTACATTAATTGCATAAATTAATATAAATAACATATTCACCTTAGGGGAAGCCTGAGCACCTCTGATGAGTGAATGAATGTGTCGTGATTTGTTGATAGGCTTGATGCCATTCCCACCAGCACCATTTACATCTTGAAGCCGTGTCCGTTCACGACACTCAAGACAATTTCTCACAGCCACAGTGCAAACCTAGATATGAAAAAAAAAGAGTGTTGAATGTAATAAAACGCCATTTTCTGGGTGAGATCTGGAGGCTCCCCGGAGCTATCCAGGCTGATATGGATATATTAGACTTTGGCACCAATCAATATGAATGGAGTTCTGGATCTACCGGGGACCATGAGCCAGAACCTGGCCCCCTCAGAGAGGCATGAGGAGCAATGACCTATAGAAATGCACATGTGGTTACGGAACATCCTATGTCTGCCATCGACAGGCACCCAGAAATGTAAGCTTCCCAAAACAAACCCCTATTCTGGTTGAAACTACTACTGAAATTCAAACGAGTGGACAGAACTGCCCAAATGAAAACGAACAAATTAGCATGACATCACCACCTACCGTGCTGCCGTCTGCACAACTCCCCCCTGACCAGGAGGGGGAAGGGGAAGCCCCAGAGCCCTTACGCCGGCTACCCACACCTCAATTCTGAGGCGGGATGTTATAACACCCGAAAAACCACCGACCGGTAAGCTACTTGCCCAAAGATAAAATACAGAAAGAGACTTACCCGGGAGGTGGTCGGCACTCGCTCCTCAACTCAAAGTCGAGACAGCTGGCTGCAACCACCGACCCAAAGCGACACAGGCCTGACAGGGCCCAGGAACACTGACCAGGTAGCGCACAACCAGGACCCTGTTCGACCGCCAAAAACCCTGTGCCTGAATGTCAGCCAAAGACATGTTACCGAAGACGGCAGCAAGTGCAGCAAACTTATGAACGCCGTGGACACGAGAATAGACCGCAGACTGGCTGGACCGAATAACCCTGTGGACAACCTAAGAGACCCGAACCCTGGAACAGGAAGGAAGGGAAACCAGGTCAACCCAAAGCGCGTCCCCGGACATGGAGACCATGGCGCGCAAAAAATGGCGGAGAGCCACAACCGGACAATACACACGATGCTTCCCCGGCCTAACCAACCAGACATCAACAACCCAAGGACCCTTCCGGAAAGCAGATGTCTTATTCTTTGCTACAAAAGGAGAAGGCTGCAAATGAACAAATCTATCACCAGAGCCAAAAGAGCAGAAACCCCTGCACCAGCGGAGAGCATGAAACCCGAGAGCTCCTAAACCCAACCCCTAGAGGCCGATGCCAATAGGAAAAAAAGATCCTTGGAGAAACAATCCTGAACCGAAGGGGCCACTACAAACCAAGGGGAAGAGAGATAAGAGAGCACCCTGTTAAGCCGGAGGTGAAACAACGCCCGAGACAGCTTGCGAAACATCGCAGAAGTAACATCAATGCTGAAAGCAAGCTGCAGCGGCTCTGCCAGCACCGCATGATATGAGGCGACAGTATTCATTATAAGATGACAGTCCTGAAACAACCACGAGAGAAAGGACAAGACAACCTGAACAGAAAGCAAAGTACACCTATGAAGAGACAAAAAAAAACGAAAGGACCGCCAGGGAACTTCATACTGCCGCCGAGACGAAGCATGCAGGTGGAACTCCATTAACAAAGCCACCTGATCACCATACAGATGGTGATAGACTTGAGACAAAAATACTAGACGTGAAGATTCAAGGCCTAGAACTCCATTCACATTGACTGATGCCAAAGTCTAATATATCCATATCAGCCTGGATAGCTCCGGGGAGCCGAAGGGGACTCCGCCCAGAAAATATAAAAATATGCTTCAACAAATATATAAACATACTTTTTATCTTCAAAAGAGGTTATTCAGCTAATTTTTTTTTATAAATTAATAAACTCAAATATTTTACATAAAAGTATGTATTGCCTTTAACCACTGTACTGTGCTGGCCGAGAAAACTCGTCATCCCGAAACTGCGCAGGCCGAGATGACACTAATTTAACCCTTAGACTGCCATATTACCACGAATGTAGGGGGCATAAATATGCCCCCTAAATTTTATGTTGTCATGCCCACTAGGGGGCATATGAATATTTTAATATTTTATGATTTGAAATATGCGGCAAATATGCTGCATATGAATATTTGAATATTTTATGATGTTATGCCCTCTAGGAGGCATAACATCATAAAATATTCAAATTATGTAAAAATAACTTAAAAATGTTAAACAAATCTCCAGCTTATTAGCTTCAGTGTCGTGAAACTCTCATAAAAATATTTTCAGAAATTGATTTTAAACAAATTTTTAAAAAATAAGAATGTTCTATTGATAAGAAGAACAGCTCCTAATAACTGTAACTGAAGGATCATGCAGTAATAAAGAAATGCAAGCACCTGTCCTATGCTCAAAGAAGAATGGTAGTAAGAAGTGTCCACAAAATGGATATGCAGTTGGTGCCTTTATATCATTGTCGAGTAATACATAATAACACAAAACATAATTACTATGTTATTATGATCTATTTTGTTATATATCATATAAATACATTGTACAATGTTAATATATGTTACTTTCATCTATGTCCCAAAAATATTTATTTTAGGGGAATTTTTTTTTTTTTAAGATTTTAGTTATTTCTTTCTCCTTTGTTTATTATCTGATTTTGTTTTAACCTTTAAATCCTGGAGAATGCATGTTTTCATAACTATGTGAAGATAGAATGAAATTGGTCAACACATAAGTCAGTGACAACTAGCAAAACTTGGGACTTTAAATTTTTTTTGGCTTATGTTTTTCTCTGATTTCAAACTATTTTCTTTGTCTCTTTAGGTTGTTTCGATGATGAGGGACCATATTAGGGCTTTTTCACTTATATAAAGTATACCCTAAATCATTATATTTATGATAATTCTCTATATTTTGTGTTTTTTGGGGGTTATTTTTTCTTGACCCAACCTGGCCCAGGCCTCCAGGTCGCCGGATTACAGGGTTGCGCCACATATGCGCCACATTTCAACACATATTGACCTACAACTTTCACATATTCGAGTATGAATGCCAAACAACATTTATTAAACAAACAATTTAACGAATTAAAAACTACCTTTATTCATTGTTGATAACTTCAACTTCAATTATCACTGAAATCTGAGTTTCAACTTTGAGTGGCTTCTAAAATTCCAGTTATTAACCGATTCTCACTATTTTGACATATTGTGTGCTCTGCTGTCTGTTCTACAATCCCATCAGAATGGATTTTTCATAACTTTATACATTTGGAGTTATAATATTTTTTGGTCTAAATTTGCCGCATATTTCAAATGTCCTGTTGAAGATTTTTTTTACAGTAAACTATACTAAAAACTTATATTCTAATTTAATGAAAATGAAGATCATATGCTATTCTGAGAGAATAATAACATTAAATGAACAATTAATGATAGTTCATAATTTTTATTCTGAATTGAAAATCTGAAGTTTTCAATATTCAATTTTAAAATTAATTTTGATTCTCTGGTTTTTCAAGTTACGCTGTGATCATTTAGACGAAGTTCGAGCAGTTGCCTAGTTGATTATCCCCAAAAAATTGGAAAGTGTTTGTGCAAGTTTTAAAATCTTATCTTGAATTATTTTTTGTCAAATTATATACTGTATGTATGTATTGCGCGGTCTAAGGGTTAAGATTTCATACCATTCAAAATGCGCACGCAGTTGGTTGGGTACGAAATGGACTCTTAGGACCTCCAGTGAGATGCAGCCATCTTGGAAAAAAAAAACAGAATGTCCTAAGCCACTGGCTGGCTTAGTACTGAGTGAGCAACCATGGGTGGTGCACGCGCCTCTGGCTCCCGAACACCTGTCTGATTCAGCGTTGAAAGATCGCTCTCTGTCAGTGAAATTCAGACCTTATTGCTTGAAGAACATAAAGGTCATGATATTAATGAAGCTAGGCACAATAAGAACCTAACATAAGGGTCGAATACAAATGATACAGCACCGATGTGGATGATACAGCGAGCCTATCCAGTAGTAGCCTAGCGCCACCTATGGTCACTCTTGTTATCTCCAATTTTTTATAGATGATACTATAGATGAATTGTTTTCTGGGTTCTGTAATGATGCATCCAATACAAATAGCATAGATGAAAAGAGTGTTAGCGGCTTCCGTGGTGGTATTTATTGCCAGTGATGGTGGTGCCAGTACAAGGAGCACAGGTGAATTTGCAAGGGAGGACTGTGATAATTTTGCAACAAACCACAAATTAATGATTCTGATGTTGGTGTTGCACCCACTTTCCCATATACAAGTGAAGATATGAGTGATATCAAGACAGAATTTTATCAGTGAACTTTTCCTAGATCTTTCCAAGAATACTTGGATTTTTTCAATCCTTCCTTACAAAGCAATCTTTTCTAGACCACCTTACATATTGATCTTTTCCTATAATATTTTCAAGACTACCTTACACTTCACAAGCTTGGCTACATATCACCTACAGGTACTAAAGCCAAGGGTGTACATGAGCTAGTTATTTGCAAGCACACAGAACGAAGAAACAGGAAGCAAAATACTGTTTGTACCTGGTGCATTGAGAGCGATGTCTCGCTGTGTACCATGGAATGCTTCTTTAGTTATCACTCTCTTCCAAAGTACTGTGTAATACAGTGTGTTACCATGTAAGTAGTGTGTGAAACTGTACATATTGTAATTTTAGTATATTTTGGACAAATAATATTGCCACAATAACCATTTATTGTGGACACACTAATGACACATGTATCAAAGTTCCATGGAACTTTATGAACTGAGCTGCATGAGGGGCAGCTCACGCAGTATACGTTCTACTGTATACATATTGTAAAGGACACAAATGTGCATCATATATGATAAAAAAAAATTAATTATAAAGCATTGAAAATACATAGGAAAAATAATTGTAAATAAATTGGTGGCAACTCGCGAGGCTTGAATGGCCCATGTGACCGCGTCTGGGAGCTTCACGCACGGGTGAACAGCCCATGATGACATCACACACCATTTTTCCACGTTCCCACGGCCAAAGTAAGTGGAATTTGATATTTTTTTACATGTACATGTTCAGGGAAGGGAATTTATCATTTTACAAAGAAAATAAATTTTTTGAGAACATGTGATTTTTGGCGCATAGGGAGAATTTCACAATAAACGCAGCACATCACAATGGTTAAATAAAATAACAAATAACATAATATTAATTTAAAGAATATTTTTTCCTTGGAGAATAAACCAATCTACTACCAAATATCAATAATAACAATCATAATGCATAACATATTAAAACAGGTGACAATTACTAACCAGACGCAAACACTGTCTAAGAATGCCTCCACTTGACATATTCTTTTCAGCCTCCAGCTCTGAGAAGTTCAGGGATGAAGCAAACACAAGCACATCTGCCATGTTTACTAATCGATGCAGAAAAGACACAGCAACTTCCACTCCCATGCCTTGTGTAGGCTCTAAAACATCCAGTTCATTCTGAAAAGCATTAGCATCATTGTCAATGTACTTAAAATACAACATACAAAATAACTTGTCACAGGAGACAAAAATGTGAAGATAAACAATTTTTCATAAATTTTACACTTGAGAATTCAAGAGAAAAATGCACTTTACATAGTATATTTGAATTTGATCCTTATTTATCTCATGTTTACTGAATTTAATCAAACTCCAAAAAGAAGTTTAGAAGTCATTACTAACATACTGGATAGAAATAAGAGCACATAATTACTGAAAAAAAGGTATTAGACATTTGCACAGAGACAGCAAGAGGAAAATGCATGTGAAATTTTTTTAATAGCATTTATTGACATGTAAAAATACAGTATCTAAATTAAATAAGCCGGGTCTCTGAAGAGCACTGAGGCATGTGTAGATTTAGCACAATGTTATTAATTGCTGTTGTCGGGGGATACAAAGTCTGTACTTCGTCTTATCGAGGTCATCCTGGAGCAACTACTGACCTTCCCCAGGAGCATCCCCACCATAGTTACCTAATTCCTGGGAACCTATTTAATTGCTAGGTGAACAAAGGTATGACATGAAAGGAAATATGCTAGAGTATATCTGACCTGCTTGGGTACTGAACCCAAGTCTCTTGGTTGTGAGCCGAGGATATAGACCACTGTACAGTGAAGAGCTATTATTCAGGAAGTAGAAAGTATGTGTATGCCAGTGACTGCCAGGGATGTGTGATGTCTCCATGGTTATTTGTCCATCCACTTGGGCTGGACAGTAGAAAACCACGTCTCGCTTCATGCAGGTCCGTGTTCAATCCCCGACTGTCCATATGGTTGGGCATCATTGCTCTCCCCTTTCCCATCCCAAATCCTTATCCTGATCCCCTTCCAAGTGTTATACAGTCATAATGGCTTGGTATTTTTCCTTGATAGTTCCCTTCCCTACCTTCCCATTCAATGTACTGTATGCATGCTGGATAGGATCATGACAGAAGGTGAAAAAATTAGTAAAGGTAGTTATAATTTAGTGAGTAACAGATATATATATGAAGTATAGTCTATGTAATTTGATGTATGCAGATGATGCAGTTCTTCTGACAAAAAATTAGATATGTGCTCTATATGTAGATTACTTGGACGTTTTCAAGTCAAGAAAAAGTAAATAAAGAAAAGACAAAACAACTGGAACAGACATCGACGAAACCATACGGAAGGAAAGGAAATGGCGGAAAGACTTCTAGGAGACTTCATACTGTCGCTGAGAAAAGAACCACAGATAGGACACCATCAATGAAGCCACCTGATCACCATACAAATGGCGATATACCTGCATCAGAAAAACCAGACACGAAGCACGGAAGAGTAAGCCAAACCAGCGAGGTACCTCACCGACCTGACGTGCTGAAAAGAGGCGGAGCTGCAGAAAACCCTCGGGTTCGGACACCGAGCAAGCAGCGCCAGAAACCAAGGCTGGGCCAGCCACCATGGGGGCCAGAAAGACCATTCTACCTCGATAGGATTCGAGCCAAGCTAGAACCGAAAGCAACAGCTAGACTAGGGCATGAAGATACAGGAACCTCACTTCGACCAGTCCTGCCGGAAAACATCTACCGCGAAAGCCTCACAGTCGGGGAACGGCACCATGTATATCGGGAGGCACCTAGACCAAGCTGAAGTGAAGAGGTCCACTTCCGGTCACTTGAACGTCTGACACAACCAAAGGAAGGAGACGGCATCGACCGTCCACTCCATGGAAAGAGGAATGAAGCAAGACAGACTGTCTGAGATGACACTGGACACCTCCTGAATGTGAACTGCGCAGAGAGCTAAATCCCAAGAACTCGGCAGAAGAGCGACCTGAAGCGACCAACCCCAAAGAGCCATGGACTGCAGAGATCCCCCCCTCCCACCAATTGAGACTATGAACCACAGGGGAGCACTCCAAATGGAGCTGAATCTGCCGCAGCACCTGTCAAACAGCCACAAACTCCCACACTGTGGTGTGAGTCCAATACCCTTGGCCTGCCTGGTCGTCACTGGTCACAAAACCCCAGCCGAGAGACGAGGCGTCTGTGAACACATCGAGCGAGGGAAGGGGAAGGTGCCAGGGCACCGAACCCCGAAAAACCCTTAGAGGAAGCCAGAGACACAGCAACTGACACAAGGGCCCCGGAGGCCAAACACAGTAATCCCATGAGCGGGGAAAGGGGCTGCCCCGAAGATACCAAAACAACCTCTGAAGCAAAACTATGCCCAGCGGGAAAAGCAGCATGGTAACGTTCAGGCTCTCATACAGCTGCTTGAGTAACTGCCGAGTAACCCAGGTCCCCTTCAAAAACATGAGATTCAAGCAGAATCCAAAGAGAGAGGGGGAGGACGGCCTGCCAACACTCAAGACAAGAGGTAAAAAACATAGAAACTGCCTCTCGAAGGATTGGCGCAAACAGCTTCAGCAGGGCAGCTGACGCCTCGGCAGCTGAAACCAGAACCCCAGCCGAAGGCCCCCATGCAATGCCTCCACATCCTTCGAAAGCCAGTCCAAGGACAGCTCCAGAAGACCGAAGAAGCGCAAGACTGAAGCCATATGACTGCAAGTTCGATGGTCATCCATTGCCAAGGCAGCCGAAAGAGACGGGACCTAAACATGTAACTGCACCAGACCCACATCATGGGAAAGCGCAGGGGCAAAAAGGTACTCATTGAGGAACTCCAAGGAGCCCCCTTGGAACACTTGCAACACTGAGGAAACCGCCCGCCACTCAAGCGTGTGGGTCCAACAATACCCGCGTCAAGCTCCCAAAGAGAAGAAAGGGCAGTCCGCCAGCCAGGAAGATTCCCGAACCTCATACCGCATCCAATACAGGGAAGAAGAACCGAACTCAAATGAAGACTGATCCATTATAGAGGTGTAAACTGGGTCTCGCAGAAGGTAAGCACCAAGGGCTTCCCCCGAACCTTTGCCGGGAATATCGGAGAGGAAAGAAACCTCCGGAAGGAATTATCCAAGGAACCCAAAGGCACCCGAAAATGAACCCAGAGGGGAGCAGCACCCAATTCAAATTCATACAGGGATGGAGGATACGAAAAACCCCAGCCCTGCAACAGAAGGCACAAGGGCCAGGCAGGATCAAAAGGAACCCAAGCACTTCAAGTGGACTTCCCTCCTCCCCAAGCACCAGAAACCCCCGACACAGGTCTTAGAGCAGAGCCCTCATCCACACCCACCACCCTTGAAGAAAAGGTGGAGTCCTGGGGAAAAGCTTCAAAGAAGGAGCCTGCTGGGCCAACTTCGAAGCCTTGGCAGGGAAATCGGGCTCAACCTTCATTCCCAAATCAGAAGGGGCAGCCCCCGAAGCTACCCGAGCCTCATCCCAAGCTATACCCTGCCCCGGCCCCGAAACCCTCAGATGTTTGAGAGCTGGAAGAAGGAAAAAAGGAGCAGGGCAAACCACACCCACCAAGAAATTACTGAACCACGGTTGAAGTAACCAATGCCCCTAAATCTTGGTCCCTAAAACCCAAGCAGGTCAACTCTGGGGCTTCCAACTGGGCAACCAACCTGGCCCGTCACAACAAAGAATACCTAGCATGCAACAGCAGAGAACAAATTCTGCAAGACTCAGGGTTGTAGGTGTCTCCGATCCAACAGGCAGCATGACAGAGGTAGGATGGATAATCGTCACCATAAGGCAGAGGCAATGGACAACCCTCAGCATCGCACAAGATGAGACAGTGCTCGGAAGACACATCTATGGTACCCCTGAGCCCAACAGGGTTTTCCAGGGCCCATAGGGTACGTTAGCCCTACAGGAAGCCCAGGCACTGCGGCTAGCTAAGTCGGTAACCCCTGTCTGTTGCAGGCAAACTGACAACTACAGGTCGCTGTGAAACCTCGGAGCAACAGAGGTGGTCCACCAACACAGCCTAAGCTAACCTAATGGGAAGCTAGGCAGACTACCTCTGCCAAAAACAAATAAATACGCTCAAAGAAAACAAAACAAAACAAAAAGCCCCTGAAGCAACACACAAAAGCAACCAGTCCCCAGAGAAAATCATTGGGTGCCGCAGTATCCAGGCTGCACCAGCCAAAGTGTGCCCCACCCAGCAAAAACCCACTTCCTACCCGGGGCAAGACGGGAAGCCCAAGACCCCCGACCGACCCCAAGGGCAAGAACAATAACAAGCGACAAAACCTTCAAACGAGAGCGCGACCCGAATGTCCCAGGGAAAAGAACCCTCACATGCAAGGGAAGTACTTACCAGGCACCTAGGGAATTTAGACCTAGGTACATACAACTCAGAGTACCAAAGAACACCTGGCCACCACACTACACAAAGCTGGCAAAGCCACAAACGCTAAAGCCAGTCAAATAATTCGAGGCAAGAGAAGACTAAGTGACACTGGCACATCAGTCCACGAACTGAGGGTAGAGCGGCTGGCTTGCCTGAGTGGGCTTCCCCTTCTCCCTGTCGGGGAAGGGAGAGGCACTAATGAGCGGGCATGCTAGTAGGGTGACGCTTTGCTTTTTTCATCGTTTTCTTTTAGAGGGAGTTCATTGGCTCTGTTTGGATGTAGGTTGCAATTTTAACCAGTTAGAGGTTTTAGTGTTTCGCCTACCTTTTTGGTGGTCATCCCGGTCGATGGCAGACATGACAAACTCTAAATGTCAAGTCCTCATATGGCCATTGCTCCCTGCGCCTCTCTGAATGAACCAGGCTCTGGCGCTAGTCTCTGGTAGACACACAGAACTCCAAAGACTGATGACACCACACTAATAAGGCACATGTCAGTTTGGATAACTTCAGGGAGCCACAGAAAAAACTCAAAAACAACAAATTCGCCAAGCTGGTGACAAAGGAATGCCGTCAACCACTGGCAGTGCTCTTAATTCAATAATTTTTCTTACCAAGTGGAAAATCCTTTGCAAATGAGATCCCAGCATCCCAAATCATTGCAAAATGACTACCTCTCAGGCAGCTATCCCAAGTCTCTCTACTTATCCCCAACTAATTCCT